ACCTCTGTGGTGACCAGCAGGGAGCCTTGGCCCGAGCTTGCTGTGGGTTACCACTGGCACTGTCCCATCCCAAAACACTGGCATTGCCCCCCGTGCAGAGCCAGCACGTGCTCCGTTGGCTCTGACTGTGAGGGATAATTTTCATTACTGCTGCCCTATTTTTTGGGGGCTGGTCCTGAAGTCAGGGTAAGGTCCATATTATCTGTGCTGATACCTGCAGCAGCGTAGGTAGGTCACTGGTTCACCTCTGACTGGTTAGTACTTAATGCTTGTAAAATCCCTCTTTGTAAGGAAGAAGGAGCAACTGGCAGCTAAACAGGGTCTCCTGTAACATAGGACAGACAAATGTCATCCCAACAGCGTGATTGTGCAGTGCAGCCTGTCTGGCTTTGGGCAGCAAAGTCCGAGTTAATCTCTCCTCATCCTGCCTCCTACCCCTTAAATCCCCCATTGGCTGCTTCCCCAGAGGGCTCAGGTTTGAAGGTGATGTTGGTACTCATCTGTTGGATCTGATAAGGGCTGGGGAGAGCAGCTCTGCTGTGCAGTTGCTTGTGGCCAAGCAGGGTTTGTTCCAGTTTTACACTGGCCCTTTGGTGACTGTGTCTCTTGGCTGCAGGATCACTTGGACAGGGATCTCTCCAGCCAGCATCACTTCTTCTTTGGATGGATTTTGGTAAACGGGGCTGGTTTGTAACCACATCCAGGGACAGATTGTCCCAGAGCATCTCCCAGCACTGGAGAAACCTGCTTTCTAGCCATCAGCCTTACTAAGAAGTCCACAGGGCTGGCCAGTCTAAAGTACTTTGCATGTCTTGGTCAGTATGACCCTGGCAGCTCAGGAAATTGCTATTTCTGTGGATTTGGCAGGAACAAAATGAAAGGCAGCTCCCAGATCTTGCCAAGGGGCTGTGTGAGTGCCTGGCTGGCAATTAAGAGAGCAAGTTGTGTGCCTGCATCTCTGGTGCATGAAGACATGAATCCTATTTCACCTCACCTTGGGACCTGCAGAAGGGGCAGAGCATGGGAGACTGGTGGGTGAAATACATCATTCTCTTGCCTGGGGCCCCAAGTTTTATTTTTGTGGGTGGCAAGGCTGGCCTGCTGCTGTACAGAGGAGCCCCTTGTGCTCAATCCTTTCTCCCTTCTGCTTACTTTTTTTTAGAAAAACAAGCAGTGAGGTTGCTGCTGGAAACAGCTCTCCCAAGCAATGGCTTTTAGGGCTCTGAGATGTTTGGGTCCAGGTGCACAGCCTCCACTCTCAGTAGATATGGGTATATGAGGAGGGTTATGGACTGGAGAAATTAGAGGACTTTGCCAAGTGGCACTAGTGCAGGGGAAGCTTGGAGAACTCAGCAGAGGAAGTGTGAGTGGTTTCAAAAAAACAAAATAGCATCGAGGCTTGGCTCCCCTCTACATCTCCCCAAGAGCACCATGCAGCCCCGCTCCACCATCAGTGTGGGGACTTGGATGCTCTTAGGCTGTTCATTAGTAAAATCTCTGAGCAGTTCCTACTGCCATCGAGTACCCATTAATGCCTCTTCAGGGAGAGGAGAGCATTGGGAAAGCACAAAAACAATCTGAGGGCCCTTCATCTCTTTTTGGTTTGAGAGGTCATGGGCTGAGGTTGGAGGGGAAGAGGGGCCAGGTGGGGATGCCAGGCATGAAAGCAGCACCGTGATTATCGGCCGAAGTCTGAGTGCAAAAACATAACCTGATTTGAACTGTTACTTCTTCAACACTCCTGGGTGTGCTTTAGGGTTATAAACACCTACTCAGTGACCTGCTTTGTGCACATCTCGAGCCAGGTATTCCCACACCAGAGGGAAAGCCAGCAAAACCTGCACAGATGTCTTTAACAGCTGCAGCTGGGCTGCTGTAAGCCACCCCTGCTGCTCCAGTTTATTAGCACTGCAGGGTCTGTCCCCTTCTCCCCCTTCTCCTTGGCTGCTTGTGTGTACAGTCAGCTGTTAAAGGACACTGACATCACTTAACGCTTTAATTGAATCTCACAAAGGAATCCAAATTGGCTGCCTGACTCTTGTCACTGAGATGCTCATGGAAGAAATAGTAAATCACCAATTCAGCAGATAAAGCTGCAGCTCTGGGTAGGCTTGTTGCTAGGGATAGGGAAGTAATTCCTGTTTGCAGAAAAATACACTATTAGGGAGATGGCTGAGGGCTATTTTTCCAGGCCACCAGGTGCCATCCCTTACCAAGGGAAGGGTAACCGAGTTAGTCTAACTCCCCAAGGTAGTGTGGCACTCAGTAAGGGGTAAACAGACCTGAGGCAGCATTTTATCTGTAAGTCAGGAGACTGTTCTGTGTTTTACAGAGGGATTTACAGGGATACAATGGAGAGAGGTCCACGTGACCATTTATTTAGAACAGAAGGCAAAATCCCAGGAAAGGCCAGGATTGAACCAGGGTGAAGCTTTGCAGCCAGCAGCAATTTCTGAGATTGTTTCACAGAAAAAGTCATCTTTGAGTGTAGGGAATCAAGTTAGGAGGGAATGGAGAGAAAAATGTCCAAGAGCAATAGGGAAGCCCAGAGGGAGAGGATATGACCCTAATGAGAGTGCTAATGCTGTGGCCATGCTACTGACAAATAAAGTAATTGCTGCTCAGGAGGAATGCAAGCCAGCAGAAAACAGCTTTCCACCCAGACGCCAAGAAAAGCAATTAGAACTCGTAAACACCAGTGGCTGACTAAAACCAGGCCTTTAATTAATAGTTTCATTTAAAGGGTAAGGAAATCGTTAAGCACTATTGGTGTCTCTTAATTCCCTGCAACATGAACCACAATAGTTTCAAGCCTTCTTCCACTGTAGTGTGTGCAGGAAGGAGCACCTGAGCCCTCTCTTTGTGCAGCCGTGCTCCCTCACCTCACTGACTGCCCCGGAGCCCTGGGATGTGCTGCAGGATGAACAGCTCAGACTGTGCACTAAGTTAGGATGTGGTTTTGGGAGCGCTCTATTAGGCCAGGAGAGAAGGTGGATGGAAAATGTGATCTCAGTAAAAAGCTGTAGAAGTGAAGTACTGTGCCGAGGAGCTCGGAGTACAGGGAGCTGGGGGGCTGGAAGATTTGCATCATTCTGTACAGATCCCAGCCACTGAGCCATGGAGAACAGTGTCAGCCTCTTCTGTCCAGCACAGAGGGTGTTACAGGACTGTCAAAGGAAGAAGAAGGGGTAGCTACCAGAAATAGGCAGGGCAGGGAGGGACACAAAACTTCCCACTGTAAACGCAGTGGTGATGCACTGCCAGACTTCCTGAAACCTTCATAAACACCCAGAAAACAAGAGTGTTAAGGAGTGGCCTTTACAGAGGACACAGCCTTGATTTTAAGTCTGGGTAAGATGAAGATTTATTCTTGTTGTTTTCTGACTCGATTCACCCACATACTCTTTCCTGAATTCCAGGACCACAGATCTTTTCACAATCTTAATTTTCAATTTGTTCTACCATCTTCATGTGACGTGGGCACCTCTGCATTGATGCAATGAACAGCCTGTAGTACAGAACAGCAGTGTTCAGTTATGTTTGTTAGACAAACCTGCCAGCACAGCCTGGTGCCCCTCCTTTGTCAGGTTGGTTGCTGTGCTGGGCAGACACCAGCCCAGCCTCGCTGTAAGCTCATCACCCAGCCCTTCCCCAGCCAGCTGCCTGCATACTCAAAGTTCATCCTGGCAGTTTATGGCTGACCTGCTATCTTCTTCTTAAGAAGAGTTAAGTCCCTAGTGCAGCCATATTTCTGGAGTGAGGGGGGAACTCTTCTAGTCTGTCAAACTTCTATGGAAGAGCCTCTCTTCCTCACTGTCAAATCTGTGACAGCTCAAGGAACTTCCTTTAAGATCACCTACCCTCCCTTCAAATTCAGAAAAGTAGTTTTGTCTGAATCTTGTTTTCTCCTGTCAAATGTAACTCAACAGGCTTTTCTAAGCAGAGTGATTTCTTTCAAAACCTGCCGTATGCCATTCAGCCCCATGAAGGAGGTTCACTGCCTTGTTGCTATGGTACCCTTTCTCTAACGAGGAAGAAAATAGTTAACTATGCAATTTAAGAAACTACAGAGGAATGACAGAATGAGAAATAATAGAAAGGAAGATTCTGCATTTGCAATAGAACTGCTGGCTGCTCTAAAATACACCATGTTTACAGGTGAAATACTTGCCCAGAGCACGTTGTATAGGGCCAGGGCTTCTCTGGCAGCAGGGATTCCAATGAGATGCCCTTTGCTATGCACTGTGCCTCTGCCATCCAGGAAATCAATCCTGTAGTCAGTTACTGCTGTTACCTTCCCTGTTTAATGCTCCTGACATATTTCCTTGGCAGGAATTCTGGATGGAGCTGGGACAGCGATAATACATCACAGACCCACAACAAGCTCCTGCTGCTTGTGGATACACAGAGGTACAGTTCAAGATTTAAGTGCTTTGTATCTCCTTGGCAGCATTTCATTATTCCTTGGGCCTACTAACCCCTGCCTGCTTTCCCCAGGACCCTGGAAAATCCAGTTTGTGGTGCACAAGGCAGGGCAAAAGAGACTGCAAGCATCAAACCTGGCATGATCCCAACAGCCCCTTTAGAAAGAGCGGTGCTTTCCTTTGCCAAGAGCAGTGGCAGGTCAGTACAGCTTGGGTGAAACAAAGCACTGCAACAGATCTTTGCCAGGAATGGATCCAGGCTGGTGCTCTGTCAACAGGGAGAGCTGCCTCTCAGAGAGCACACGGAGCTCTGTGAGCCAGGGGGAAGGAAAGAGTTACCCCATGCCTTGTTTCCCAATGTGAACAGTGAGACAAAGAGGGAAGGAAAATGACCTGACCCCGTGCAGTTGTTTACTACAAATGACTACAAGGAGATCGAGATCTCAGGCTCTCCTTCTGCCTGACAAGGGCACTAATGGCATGGAGGGCTAGACAAGAGCCACATATGGTGGTAAGAGGAAGAGAGCAGTCGCAAGGCAATAATAAGCCAAAATACTTCTGCAAACACAGCAGGAGTGGCTGTCAAAAGACCAACATTTTAATCAACAAACTTTGTAGACAAGAGGCTTCCCACTAAGGGAATACACGGATTCCTGCTTTCACCAGCAGTTTCTACCTCCTGCATTTTTAAGGCTCAGCATGGTCTCTCCAAGCTTCCCTTAACAAGTATTTCCAGGGAGAGCGGCCTTCCAGTATCTGTCACAGAAGCAACACTCAACTCAGTCCCTGATGAACTGATGTTGAAAGCTGTGTGTCCCTTGCACTGCCCCTCACACTCTCCTGGCTTTCCGTGGGCGGCAGCCGTTGTGGGGGACTGGGCTGTTGTCGGTGATGGAGATGACCTCCAAACCTCCCATCGTCAGCCCCTTGATGGCAGCCTGCAACGAGACAGCAGGTGACAGTTATCAACACACAGAACAGCAGAGAAGGGAAAAAGCTCAGGGCAAAACAGTTTTGTCCTCCATCTAAAAACCAACTTCCAATGTTCCAATGCTTTTCATTTTGTAATTCTTAAAAATAAGCAATTCATATCAGAAAACCAAGTTTAAACTTAACTGTTCTAGTCTTTTCTTGAACATTCCCACTGATTTTCCTGCTTTAACCATAAGAAGTGCCAAATACAGCTTTTATTCTAGCTACAAAATGGTATTACTCTAAAATTCTAACGACTCTAAAAATTCTTTACTGAGCACTTGGGTGAGGAATCCTTTTTATCAGCTTCAGAAAAACCAAGTTAAGTGAGACCAGCCTGGGTTTAGAAAACATCCATGATGGCTGAGAAAATAAAGTATGGAAAAGAAACTCCAACACCTACTTTGCGTCCTGGTCCCAGTCCTTTCACCATGACTCTCACGTGTAATACACCCTTCCCACGTGCTTTCTGTGAAAAGAACAACTGGTTAGTGTTCTCTCTGACATAAACTCTGGTTCCCCTGGGGTCTTTCATTTTCATAATAGTATTTAAGTAAAAATAGAGACTAAGTAGTAACGGATATAGAAGACATATATGGGAATTATTGCAGACACTAAGAGCAAAGGAGGCTGGGGCATGGCCATGGCAGTTCCAGAGAACTTCTGTGCTAGACTGTCAGCTCTGCACACAGGGAATGCTCTCAAATCAAACTATCTGTGACCTAAAGCCAGAGCAGAAAAGGACATATCCATGGATACATGACTGAAGTGGCAAGGGACTAACAAGGACTAACTCTAAGCTGTTTTCTCTTCTCTAATGTGGTGACTTCTCCCCTGTGAGCAGTGGATTCTTTCTGGAGGGTAAATGAGAAGAGCAGGCAAGCTTTAGATTTGCTGTGCAGGAGTCCGCACCTCCAGTGCAAAAATTCTAGGGGCTTGCAAATTGGAAATGAAGAACTGCTGTACAGCACAGCCCTGCTGCCACCACGTGGAGGGAACTCCTCTGGCTCTCTTTCTCATTGTGTTCTGGTGCAATTAACGTACTAACTACTTCAGCAGTGACAGAATAAATCTGTCCACGCACAGCTACACAGCTATTATCAGGCTCCAACTAGCACAGATTAATAGTGAAGATGTTCTTATATCCCTCTGAGGCAACCACAATAAGCTGTTGGCCAGCAGTGGTACCAAACTCCTCTGGCATTAAAGGCTGGAGTGAGTTCCACCTAATTTAGGATAAGGATTTTCAGTTTAACCTTGCCTCATTCTGCTGTAATGAGGACTGTGACACAGCCAGCCTCATCTCTTCCACCTGGACGCCCACATGGCTTTTTCTAGAGTTACAATAAACCATATACAGCTGGAAACTACAGGTGCAAGAACGTCACTTTCTCTGACTGGAACTGCTGGCTGGAGCTCAGTTCTGTGGCAGAGTGTAGGTATGAAATATCCAGACAGTAACTACAGCTACTTCTCAGTCCCCTTTGGTGCAAAAGTTGAACTGCTGCTGATTCAGGGGCTCCATTCCCCAAATGACTGAGAAATGTTCATTACTTAGGAAAACAGGAGACTATGCAGACCAGCATTAGGAAAGGACGGGCTCCGAGTTACAATCACACATTTCCAATCACAACTTGCACAGCTCAGCTCACACTCGGGGCATTTCTAACAGTTCTTTCAAACACACTTTGTGTGCAAATGAAACTTGCTGCTCCAGCACCAAAGAACAGCTCTGGAGGGCTGCCTGTGAGCCAGGCCTGTGCCCAGGTATGGGGGCAGGCAGTCAGTGCTCCGCTCTGGAGGTGGGAATCACGGCTGGGGACTCACCACTGCTGCTGCCATGGCTGCAGTCTGTGCTGCGATGGCAGTGCCCTTCTTGGCGTTCTGGAAGCCTTCTGTGCCACAGGATGTGCGGGAAAATGGCTGGTTGTCAAAGCTGACCACCTGGATGTGGGTGCTGCAGAAGGACAGGGGAAAAGGGAAGAAGAAGCAAACTGGAACAGATCTTTATTCCCCAGTTTCTCACTCACCTTATAGGCATAGCTGACTGCAGGGCTTCTGTCTCCCTTACAAAGTATCTCACTTAAACCCACTGCAAAGACCACCCAGCAGGGACTTTCTGGTCATCTTACAGACCCAGGCAGAACCTTTCTGGAGAGGGTGTGCTTTATTTAAGTACACCTCAGACCCCACTCGGCCCTTTCACAACTACCTCTCACTGCATTTTATACCTTCTATTAAAAAAAAAAATTGCACAAAACACTTCTAGAACTTGGAAGAGCCTTAAGCGTACCGTATCACAGGAGGAATCATTGATGAAACATGACTGTTTCTCATGAAGAACAGGATAATTCTTTCAACACATGTACAGAAACAGTGCTAGAGCAGTGGGCTATAAGTAACCTGCTGTTAAAACTATCAGCATCTGATTATTCATATCAGAATGTAATCAAAATGCATAAAAACAATCTCATTGCTTTTAAGACACTCCAAGGACAGTTATGCTCCCTGAACAGAGGTTTAAATCAGTATAATTTTCACAGCCATGAACACCACTCCCCTGGCTGCCTTTCTTTGAGCCTTTAGATCAAAATGATGACAGACCAAACCCCGGGTTCTAAGCTTTCATTTCACACGAGAGCAGGAATGGAGCAGCTCATTTGCTTACTTGTTGTAAGTGGCTTTGATGTGAGCTATCGGGACCTCTTCATAAACCTTGCCATCCCATCTCATGGAGTTCCTCTGCAGGATTGAAGAGCTGAGGAGCAAAACAAGAGTTATCAGGCCTCGCTCTTTAAATATTACGAAGTTTCATTTCAAATCGGGAAACAAAGAAAGAAGGGATCAAGCCTCCGAAAAACACAAGCTGAGTTTCTGATTGAGTGAAGTGGCTCCCTCCCCTCCCTCGGCTGAAAACCCACCGAAGGCGATAAAACCTCGCAGCAAGCGGCAGATGGCAGCGCCCTCCCGGCGCGGCCTGGCCTCGGCTCTCACCTCTGCTCGGTCGCGCTCTGCTCCTCCGTCTCCTTGGAGTGTCTTAA